CTTGGCGCGAGGCACTACCGTGCCTCTTGATTTGAAGAAAAAAGCTTTCAAAAAAACAAGACATTCTTTTGTAACAAAAAAGTGTTTATTATTATTTTAAAATAATGGTAATTATATCTATAAAAAAATAAGAAGAAAATGTAAGAAGGAGAAAGGAAGAGAGAGGAGAAGAAGGGAAAGAGAAATAGAATACCAAGATTTATGCCGACAAAGTCCCAACGGTATTTAAACCAGGGGATGTTCGGAAGATTCCATTCGCTAAAGAGCAATGACCGATGAGACTTTCAGAGTTTAGATCTAACAAAATTTATAGATATATATATGTATACTTATACACATATATATATATTTATATATATGTATATATACATATATATAGATACCATTTATTTGCACTCAAATTATTCATATTACATGAGACACACATGTTATTACTAAATAAAAGATAAATTCTTATTAAATATACACAAATATGTATTTATAAATTAAACTTGTTTAAAGATCATATAATTGCTAATGTACCCGGTAAAAAATTTTTCATGTATAAAATTGTATGAACATATTTGGTGTATAAATTTTCATAATTAGATATAATTATTTTAATTTGTGTATAAGTATATATGATTATATATCAAAAATTGTTTAAAAATATAGTAAAAATTAGTTTTATTTAATTTTTTTGTATCTAACATGATACTAATAGAGTTATTTTGTAAGTTGATATGAAATATCTCTGAAGCCATTCTCTTAAAAAAAGAAATTCTCCATGTATAAAATTGTATGGACATATTCGGCATATAAATTTGCATATAAATTAGATATAATTATTTTAATTTGTGTATAAGTATATATGAAAAATTTTTTACCGGGTAAGAATAAATTAATATAGTATACGTGTATGTAAGAAATGTTGTATATTTGTAGAAAGTCTGATAATACTAAATAACGATGTTACGAGCTTTTGATAGATAATAGAAGTGATAAATATAAATAACTATATTGTTATTTTGAAATCCGCATATGTATACCCGGTAAAAAATTTTCCATGTATAAAATTGTATGGACATATTCGGCACACACACACACACATATAAATTTGCATAATTAGATATAATAAGTTTAATTTGTGTATAAGTATATATAATTATATATCAAAAATTTTTTAAAACAATAGTAAAAATATAGTTTTATATAATTTTTTTGTATCTAACAAGATACTAATAAAGTTATTTTGTAATTTGATATGGAATATCTCTGAAGCCATTCTCTTAAAAAAAGAAATTCTCCGTGTATAAAATTGTATGGACATATTCGGCACATATAAATTTGAATAATTAGATATAATTATTTTAATTTATGTATAAGTATATATGAAAAATTTTTTACCGGATATTTTTATTATTACTTATCAAATTTTAAACATGTGGTAATTGTAATAAATATATGGTTTTATATATAAATCAAGAAATAGTTATTTTTAAATCTGTTTATAGCACATGTAAAACTATATTACATGCTCAGAGAATATATTATTTACATATATATATATATATATATATATTTATATGTATATATACATGGTATGTACGTATGTATTCTAAATATATATGATAGTAATAATTAGTATATTTTAATAAACTCTCTTATTACATATAATAATGGCATAGTTGATACATATGTATATTTTTTAATTAATTAATTAAATTACGTTGCGGTTATATACAATGTGGGCGATTGTATTATACAATGGGTCCTAAAAGTTTCTCAAATTGAGGTGAGCTGAGCTGAACCGCGTGATAGTTGCGAGCAGAAACCGCATATAAGAGGAGAGAGACGTGCAACCAGTAGCAGAGGTGGTGGCGATGATGGTGGCAGTGGTAAAGGAACAAGACTTCGCGGCTTGATCGTGACTTAAGAGCGAGCGAGTAAATGCAATGAACAAACGCAAGAGCGAGATCAAGGGATTAACTGGCATGAAGGAAGAGGAAAAGAAGGAAGAGAAAGAAGAAACTTCGGTACAACGAGCGGGAGCGAGAGGAAAAAAGGCGGTGAAGACGAAGAAGTAGTAGGTAGTAAGTAGGTAGGTTAGGGTTAGGTAGACGATGAAGAGGAGGTGATGGCTGTGAAGGTGGTGGTACAAGAAGAGGAGGAGGAGAAAAAGAAGAAGGAGAAGGAGGTGGTAGTGATGTTGGTGGTGGTAGGAGAACCAGCCTCCGCCAGTCCATCCACGTGTTCAGTGTAGTAGCGCGTTATGACCCGGATGTTAGATCGTAGCCGCAGTTTTGCGCGAACCTGCCGACCCGGATATCCTCTTGCTTGTTGTTCACCAGTGATCGACCACTGATGTCTTCCTGGTCAGCAAAATATGTTCAATCGGTAAGTTACGGCCGCAGTATCAGCATTCTCGTCATTCAATTTCTTTATCGCCATCTTCACTGGAATTGTCGCGTTCGGTACTTCAGCAAGAATTATTTGCTTTAAATAAAAACAGCAAATACACAAATCATATATCAAAAGTCATATCAGAAATAATCTTTAGTGTCATCTAGCAAATCTTTTGATTAATAAATATTACTGTAACGATATCAACGGATTGAAATTAAATTATGAAATAAAGGACGAATCGTTCGTGATTTCCTTCGGGGGTGAGTTCATCCCTCGCGATTGTTTAGATTTTGTACATATGTAATAGAATGTCCTGGATAAATATGCTTTCTTCGTTAAAGTATAAAATGAAATGAATGCGAAATGTTGAAGTGGATAGTTTTTTTTTTTTTTTTTTTGATCAGCGATTAAGTTTCCAGAGATCGGACTCTGATAAAACTCAACATTCATATGGCGCGGCACGCACGTGTCGCGCGCGCGTGCAGCAGCACAACGGTAACGTGAGTGTGTGCTTGAAGGATAGATGCAAGCAAGTCTACAAAAGGCGCCAGCAAACTTCGAAGAGACCTGATAAACGCCGAAATCGCGAATCTACGTGACTTACTGCCGCTACCGCCCTCGACACGCCAAAGGCTTTCGCAGCTGCAGCTTATGGCCTTGGTCTGCGTGTTCCTACGCAAAGCTAACTACTTTCAGCAAGGTAGATGAACGATCAACTTTACATGCGTCTTTAAACTTAAAAACTCTTTTTTTTTCTTTTTTTATGTACTGCAAGCAAATTTTCTTTGCGAGTTACAAGCCTTTATGAACAAGTATTTCGAAGTCTAACTTGAGATATCAGAAGTAAAGTATGATATTTATGAAACCAAGAATTATCGAAGTTCTAAGCTGCAAATGGATGCAAAATGCGGTTGCTAAATATTGCATATAATTTTTTCATGTTACATACGCAATACACGCGCAAAATAATTATTAGTAAATAAATATTGGCCTAGGAAATATCAATGTAACTACTGCGTCTTGTGTTTTGTAAAAGTTTTTATAATCAATATTATTTGACTTTTCCTCAAATCTCGGATAGCGAAAAAGCAGGCCTACGTTTGAGTGTTACAGTTTGTTCGAGCTAAAACACAAGACGTAATATGTAAATAATATTTACATATTTCAAATATAAACGATACGATATAACATTTTAATCTAAGCTGAGTCTTCTTCAGTCGTAATTTTACAACTTGCATATAATTAAAGACAACATAATTAATAATACTGTAATATAAAAAAAGTGATTTTTTTAAATACAAGATGGCCCGATATGCGTAAGTTGTATATTTTTCCAACTTGTGCCATAGGATAAAAATAACAAGAGGCGTTAAAGCAAATCTGCCGGGATATTGCGATTGCTATATCTTTACACTATAATTCATATCCATCGCGTCCGAGACTTGAATGCCGGTACTAGCGGTTGTGCTGTGCAATTCCCCATGTTCGTGCGCTAAAATTTCAGAGCTACGTTACTTCTCTTGTCGCACTGAATTATGCGCAATGATTAGGACATATCGTAAAATTACATACATTATGTAATTTGATGAGTAAGAATTAATATATAAAATATAAGAAAGGTATTATTAAAACATTAACTATATTCTAACAAATGTTATAAAATAAAAAATAAAAAAATGTATAATTCAATATAATTTACGTAATAATAAGTGTAAAAGTTATCTAATATAGAATAATGTTATATATTCTTAAACATGTCATGTGCCGCGGCATATTTAGGTAAATACATTTTTTTTCATAATTTTGAAACTGTTTTAGTATAAAAATATCACTATTAAAATTTTTTATCCTGTTATGGCGCTTAACGTGTTAATAGTTTTATGATTTTTATGATCTATTTAAATTAATGATTTTACTATTGTATATAACACTATTGTTTTATGAAAATAATTAACTAATTAAGAAAAATATGAAATTACTCAATATATATCAAGTATAGCAATAAATTTTAGTATGATTTGTTTTCGCGATATCGCGGCACGAGCAACAGTTCTTCTTGCTTCATGTCGTTGTAATCGGTTAGTGATTCGCTCAAACAATCTGCGCAAAGAAGAATTTCTATTTGACTACACAGGAGTCTGTCGAGAGAATAACCCAACTAAAAAGCTTCTCGTAGACGTAGGGAGAAATGGCGGGGAACATAGTATCCCGATGGATATCAATAGCGAGAGGGATTCAGTAGAGAAAAAGGAGAGGAGAGGGGAAGAAAAGAGAGACCGATGGTGAGCGCAAAGCAAAGCGAAGCGAAGCGATGCAAGAAGGTAAGATCGGCCGGCGCGCGTTCAAACTCAGCGAAGTCTAAGCGCGAGTTCCGGGTGATCCGCTGACCTGTCGGCCTTTGCAACAACACTCTCACGCTCCTGTAACCCACACTCCTTCTTCCCCCTTCATCGTGTTCTCCTCCTCTTCAGGTCTCTCTCTCTCTCTCTCTCTCTCTCTCTCTCTCTCTCTCTCTCTCTCTCTCTCTCTCTCTCTCTCTTTCTGTATTGCATATTCCCTCTGCTGTCTGCTTCAGCCTCCCTTTCTCTCTTGCGTTCTTCTTCTCGGTTTTACTCTCCTTTCCCCTTGCTCCCTATCCTCCACCTTTCTAGTCATCTCTCTCTTTCTCTTTCGCGCTCATTGTCTCGCGATATCGGATACTATAGTCTCATGTAGCGCTGTTAGTAAACGCTGCCGTGCTGCACATTAGCATACGCATTTTTTCTTACCATTTTCTCTCTCTTTTGTTCTAGTGCATATATCTTTTTCCCTTTTACTTTTTTAGGAAAACCTTTAAACGAAGGGGTGGCGAGCGCGCGAGCGATTGTGCGAAAAAGCACGAGATTGAAATAGGCTCCTTTTCTTTCTCTCTTCTTCTTTAGTCCTCTGGAAGCCTGCGCGCGTGCCCCGGGACAATCGTACGCGATTAAGGCTCGAAACACAATGAAGCGTAAGAATAGCACGCAAGGAACGAGAAATTGATACACAATAAAATCTAGTATCGTATTTTTCAAAAAGAGTATAAGAATTATATCGAATTAGAAATACATTTTTTCACTTGAATAGCATAGATGGAAGTTGACACTTGACCTTAGATGGATAATACTTTCTAACAGAAAGTTTCTAAAGAAAAGAGACAGAATTATGGAATTACATTGAATTTGAAATGTTAAACTTGATTAACATTTGACATCGATAGAAACCAACACTTTGTGGCTCCAAATCGATAATTCTTCTCAACATAAAAAATCTCGTTATTTTAATTTTCTTAGTTATATTTTTCTTTCATTCTCTGCGTTTTTCAAATCTGCGCGTAATTTGTGGGTCTTTCTAGAACATTGACTAGGAATGCAAATAAAAAGTAGCTTTTTACAGCTGCGATAAACTTATCAAATGCGTTTGCACATTTTTGTTGCGTAAAATAAAAACAGAAATAACGACTTCTTCTTATCATACTTTAGTCGCCTGTAAACCCACGTTATCATTATACATATATTGATAGCGATTTATTTGTTTGTTTATTTGACGTTATTATATAGTTTTTTTATATTATAATTATATAGTTTTTTGTAATTATACAATATTTTTTCAACACATGTTATTAGTACAACAAAATATTAATTTTTTCTTTGATTTATTTTTCCGTTTCAGCATTAAAAAATTGTCCGTCCGAGTCCTCAAATATTCCAACACCCAATATAGGATTTTCAAAAGTAATTATCTTTCAGTTAATTATTTTTCATTGTTCTTTTAATGTATTTCTTTTTCACATTTGTCTATTATTTATCTTATATTATCGAGATACAATCTGTGCATTTTTTCCAGGCGATGTCTGGCTTTATTATGATGATGACGCAGCAAGGAAAATTGTTATACATATCAGAAAACGCGGCAGATTATCTCGGACATTCCATGGTAAAGTAATGTCATTAATAAGTCATTAAATAAATATATGTATGAATATATACATATACATATACATATATATATATATATATATATAATGCATTTTGTATAAATGTCATATTAAAATAAAAAACAAATATTTTATTTAAATATTTGAAAGATATATTGTAATAAGTCACAAGATGTACAGGAAGATTTACTCATTCACGGCGACAGCGTGTACGATGTAATTGACAAGCAGGATCACGTAATAGTACAAAATCAGTTATCTAGAAACAGTCCCATTCCCAATGACAGAAGACTATTTCTGTGTCGAATCAACGTATCGAGAAATTCTCGCAGACAGCTGCGATTCGGTGATCAAAAGGTAATTGGTATAACTCCGATTAGAGAGATTATGTTAGTTTTTGCGGAATGCCGCATTTGTGTTCACAGGTAGTTCTCGTAGAAGGTCACTTTCTGCCATTTGTTCCCGTTTGCAACCGCAATGAGTTTGTTTTCCTAGCTTCCTGCACACCAGTAGTTCTGCCAGAAACTCGAGAAAGTATTGTACAAGGCGCTACCAATATCTTCACCACGATTCACTCGATGGACATGAAGTACCTGCATATTGATAAAACGTAACATCTAATTTAGTATCAATAACGATATAATTAGGCTTGTAAGTTGTTTTTTCCTTAAAAAAGTTTTGCTTTTTATAGCGCGGAAAGTCATCTGGAATATACTCGTGACGAACTGGTCAACGTGTCGTGGTACAATCTGCTTCATTGGGACTCTATAAGAACAGCTTATTGCAAACATCAAACTGGTATACGAACTATAAACAATTGTTTTTTTTCATCTCTTTAATTTTTCCTTTCTTGTATCTCGATTTTTTAGTAAAATTCACATTTTTCTTTTGCTAAATTGGTAATGTTTTTAGTTATTCAATCCGATCAAGAGCGATCTACTACCGCTCTATTGAGATTACAAAGTCGGTTGGGAAGATGGTTCTGGGTACATTGCGTGCTGCAGGTCAAAGACACCTCCGACGAGTGCCAACATCCCATCATCGTTTGCACAAACCAAGTGCTCACGTACGCTCGCCTGTTTATCGATTTTAATATCCGCTCATTAAACAACTCAATTAAATAAATTAATAACAATAATAATTAATCAACATATATTATGTTGTACACACGAGTGCATGTAATTACAGCGATAAGGAAGCGGAAGTGATGCGTTCCAGTTCGTGGCTATATCAGTACTCGTCTCAAAGTAAATTTACATACGGACTTTGTCCCGGTGGTCAGGGTCGCGGCATCGTGTATCCTTCCGCAGGACTTACTGCTAATCAGTCTCAGGAATACGTTTGTACATATTCCAATGATACCGACACCCAACACTCGCCGTCGCTTCGCCCGGATCGATCCGAAGCGGAATCCCATAGTAGCGTCTCAAAAACTGTACAATCGATGGATTATCCCAGCGGACGAATTATGCGAGATGACGCAGAGCCGGTGGACATGTCGATAACTGGCAGTGAGCAGCACGAAGGCAGAACCGTGCAGATTGTTAGTCATCAGCAACACACCCTCGATAACTCTGTCAGGTATCATCACAAACAATATCATAAGAGCTCTCTACATCTAGCTAGTTATCGAGCCAAGTTTGTGCAATGCCATGGCGCCCAATATTCAAGCAGTTGTCCAGCGGATGTACTATCAGTGCCTGGCACTAAATATTATCTTACTGATCTCGATCGGGACTATTGCTGCTCAGAAAGAAGCAATTTGTTGTTACATAAGCGATTACCAAGCAAGACTTTAATCGCCTCATCTCCGATGACTGGCACCGCTGGAAGCGAACAACCATTGGAAACTACGACTATTCTCGAGAGCTGGGGTGCCAGTCCAGTGTGGTCAGACACGTTACAGAGAGTGCCGGACGTGATCCACCAGGAACTCAGTCCGTACATTACCACGCCGACTACGCCAGTCAACACACCTGACTCGGACACGCTGGGACACTCGGAGGCGCCCATCTTCAATTTTGACTGGGCCGGCACGGAACAGCATGTGCCTAACCTCAAGATCACTTTCCACCGCGGCAGCGCAGCAACTTCCGGTCATCCCACTGTTCAGCCCAAGAAACAGAATCAAGACATAGTGCAGCCTATTACGCTACAGTTACCACGTAGAAAAGGACAGTCCACGGAAAGCGATAGCAAGGACTTCTCGAAATAAATTAGAAAGCAAATGTACAGTCCAACAAGGAATGTACGTAATAATTTCTAGTTTTTACACAAACATCGGGAATATTACTTAGTTAAATAAATAACAACAAAATATATTCATATAAGAATATTTTTCTTCCTTCTTCTTAGAGAAAATGTAGAGAAGAAAGTAGGACGTGAAGTCATCTAGGATAGCTACGTAAGTGGGAAGAACTCACACACACAACATAAAACAAAAACTCCATTAAATGTCTATTAGACATCAACAGCTCCATGTGACATCTACTAGATGTCTATTGGAGGTTTTGTTCTGATTGTGAGTGAAACGCACACAAAGAAAAACTCTTCGGATATTGTGTCATAATTACATACATCTCTGTCACAGACAACGGAGTATATTCTTCCAAATTTCTATCGGTATCGCATTACACAATTTTCTACACGTTCTCGTTCGTCTTGTTTATTCTTACTCTCTGCGCTTCTCTTGTTTTGGTATCTTAGACATTATTCTCGAATCGTAAATTCCTCATTAATATAAAACACGTATATAAACATAGACTGATTACGTCGGTGTTTACATAATCTACGATTAAAAAAAGTCGTATATTATTTCGTTTAGTTCTGGTATACGCGTCGAGAATATTCGTTTTGAGATAAATAGCACACATCGTACGCGAATATATTTCAAGTATATATATATACCTATATATATATATATACATATATATATATAGGTATATATATATATGTATATATATATATATATATATAAAGGATATATAAAAAGTACCGGTACCGCGCAAAATCTCTAAAACTACACATTTTACGAAAAAGTGTTCCAAATAAAAGTTGTAGGGTTTAAGAGGATCTATTTACTAATCTTATAAGTTTGACCTTGAATAACATCGCTAAGGTTAGGACAAAGTTATTATGAATTTTTATAATGGAATACCTTATTTTTTATTGCAAATTCTTATAACTTACTTCTCAAGAGCTTTCCAAAAAATAATATATTAAAGTTTATTTTCATTAAGTACTTTTTGACTTATGAGGGTTGAATATTAGAGTGTCGCCGGTATTAACGTCATTACCTATTGACGTTATCATTCATTTCGAATGTTGCTTTATTCAAAAAATATCTATATTAAAGAGAAAGTTAGGTTTGTGTAAATTCTCTGCATTATGAGCTCACAAAATTCATTTCGATCAAAATCATCTTCGTAGAAAAAGTATTCTAATTTCAACCTTCATAACTCAAAAAGTATTTAATGAAAATAAACTTTATTATAGTATTTTGGAAAGCTCTTGAATTAAGCTATAAGAATCTGTAATAAAAAAATGAAGAGTTCTATTTAAAACAACCGATGTGACCTTGACCTCTTGGCGGCATCATTCAAGGTCACACTGATACAATCAGTAAATAGATTCTTTTCCTAACCCTACAAGTTTTATCTGAAACACTTTTTTGTAAAATGCCTAGTTTTCGAGATTTTACGCAGTACTTTTTATACATCCTGTACACACACACACACACACACACACACACACACAGAGTGTTTTATTTTAATTGACGATCTAAAATATCTTTTGAACGGTGCATTTTAGAGAAACATGTTTTAGACAAAAGTATTGTTTGGAACGGGACATAACAAATAGTCATTGATATGACTTTGGAGAATTGTTTGAAGGTCACGTCAAGGTCATCATCAATTTCTTAAATAGAAGTGCACATATCTCATTACACATTTTTGTAGCTTATTTCGAGAACTTTCCAAAACACTATAATGAAATCCTTTTCTAATAAATACTTTTCGAGTTATAAGACTCGAGTTATAAATGTATTAAAAAAGGATTTCATTATAGTGTTTTGGAAAGTTCTCGAGATAAGCTATAAAAATGTGTAATGACATATGTGCACTTCCATTTAAGAAATTGATGATGACCTTGACGTGACTTTCAAACAATTCTCCGAAGTCATATCAATGACACTATTCTTATGTCCCGCTCCAAACAATACAACAATACTTTTGTTTGAAACATGTTTCTCTAAAATACACTGTTCAAAAGATATTTTAGATCGTCAATTAAAATGAAACACTCTGTATATACATACATGTATATATATATATATATACACACACACATATTTATATATACACACACACAAACGCGCGCGCGCACACACATATACATATATGTATGTATATATATATATATGTATTTATATATAATTATGTATGAGTATGCAGTGTCGTAAGAGAAGATACCCAGGTACATGCGCTATATATGTTCGAAATTTTCTTTGAAAAATACTTAAATCTTACATTTAACGATCACGAAATATATTCGCTTTGTACATTTTAATGTATCTGACGAAGAAACTTTTTTTTTCTTTTGCGACACGCGTGTATTGTGTTACATTACAGTTACGTCTCGACGTGATACTATGAAAGTATGTAAATAAGGAGAGAGGCAGTTATTCGTTATACATATAATAGAGTAGTAGTATAGCAGCTTCTATCGATTTTTCATTTGTGTACATATTTTAACGGTATCAGACAAAAATTCCACACATTATCTCGAAACAATACTAGCCGCAGAAGTCAACTATATGCATGCAGACTTGCTTTCGCGTGTGATCTGTAATTTGATTAACAACTAAAAAACACACATTCTTTTTGATATATATTACGCGTTTATAGATATTTCATATAAATAATAAATAAATATTATACAAAGTACCTCTTCAACAACAAAATTGAACTTCGAAGATATGTTCTAGTGTTGAAATAAATAAATAAACAAAATTAAGCCTGTACGTCTATAGCGAGAAAATACATTTTTACAAACTTAAAAGTAACTTGAGAGTAATTTTTCTTTTTAACTAGATGATCAACACAGATATTCTAAGTGTCCACAAATTACTTGATCTTCTTGAAATTCTAGAGAAAATAAATTTTTATATACTAAAGAAATATAGCTCACACTTTTTTATATTTAATACAACGTAAAAATTCTTATCATATGAATTATCATATCAATGATCTTACACAAATACACACGCACACACACACATTACACACTTCATTGCTTACTTTTCAAGGAATGTTATTTTATTTTATTTATATCAAAAACTATTCTCCCAAAACTTCTCATTTGATACATTGCATCTCAAAAGTAATCAATTCCCCTGGTTTTATTCCAGATTTACGTTCGAATTTTATTTTATTGTATTTTTTTCTCAAAGAGAGTACTGAAGTACAAAGTCTTACCGTTTATAAAATGCTAAGTAATACACCAACTTTTTTATGTTTACCGCAATAATTTTTCTCAATATACAGGGTGTATAAAAAGTACCGATGCCGCGCAAAATCTCTAAAACTAAGCATTTTACGAAAAAGTGTTTTAAATAAAAAAGTTGTAGGGTTTAAAAGGATCTATTTACTAATCTTATAAGTTTGACCTTGAATAACATTGCTAAGGGGTCTAGACAAGGTTACCATGAATTTTTATAATGGAATACTCTATTTTTTATCGCAAATTCTTATAACTTACTTCTCAAGAGCTTTCCCAAAAAATAATATATTAAAGTTTATTTTCATTAAGTACTTTTTGACTTATGAGGGTTGAATATTAGAGTGTTGCCGGTATTAACGTCATTACCTATTGACGTTATCATTCATTTCGAATGTTGCTTTACTCAAAAAATATCTATGTTAAAGAGAAAGTTAGGTTTGTTGTCAATTCTCTGCATTATGAGCTCACAAAATTCATTTCGATCAAAATCATCTTCGTAGAAAAAGTATTCTAACATTTCAACCTTCATAACTCAAAAAGTATTTAATGAAAATAAACTTTATTATAGTATTTTGGAAAGCTCTTGAATTAAGCTATAAGAATCTGTAATAAAAAAATGAAGAGTTCTATTTAAAACAATCGATGTGACCTTGACCTGATCTTTGCGGCATCATTCAAGGTCACACTGATACAATCAGTATAAATAGATTCTTTTAAACCTTACAAGTTTTATCTGAAACACTTTTTCGTAAAATGCCTAGTTTTCGAGATTTTTTGCGGTACCGGTACTTTTTATACATAATGTATTTTGAGATATATTGAGATATATTCCAAAAGTTAAACACATTGAAAAGTTTCGCAAAAGTGTTGAAATCCATAAATGTGCTATATAAGCCTAACAGAATCTTGCGAGACATTAATATTTTTACGTCACTTTCGTGTTGCAAAATAATATAAGTACAACGAAAGCGTCAAGCGTTATGATTCTATGTTTCGTCGCACTCATATAAACGTCGCGTTTATTATCGCATTTTAAATTCACATCACACAAGATCGAATAGCGCAAGATCAAATATAAAGGTAAAAAAATATCACCGAGACCTATGCTATTCCATTCCCTTTCTTCTTCCCATGTATTCGATAGCGTAATCGCCGGCTCAAAATGCCAGGAAACGCGAGAAATTATACTGATATGATATCTCGTTCAAGTGTTTTTTAAGACGTAATGTCGTATCTTTTTTAAACATTTAACTTCTTGTCTAGGAAAAGAAGTTATCAAAGAAGCAATCGTTATCATTGATAAACATATGTAATAGTACACAGTTTATATCAGTGTAATAGCTCGCGTAAACGGCTTCCAAATCGATCATCAAATCCTCGTATCAAAAGTTCGAATAATCGATCAAAATCATACATCATTTAATTGTACTCGTTAATTACGCTAGTGATTCGTAACGATCGTCGCGTCTACCTGATGTACCTAGGTTTAGTTGTGATCAACGTTATTTCGTCATTCTTTCTCGTTGCCATACATGTACGGAGTGTATCAAAACTCGCGCATTGTCTCTCGTTCACAGATTTCACGTAAATCTCACGTAAATCATCATGAATCTCGTTTACAGATTTCACGTAAATTATTATGAATCGTGCGTGATCGAGAGTAGATGCGTGACGACGCACCCTACAAATGTATCTTCACAAGTACTTTCCGCGACACTGCACCGTGTATATGTGTATATGTTGATCGCGCGAGAGTACACATGTATAGTGTGCGTGTGGATATTTTGTACAAGACACAAACGCACGCGTGCCGACGCGTACATAGGAACATCACTGTCATTCAAACAGCGATTATGTTTCTTGTCCTGAATACCGAGTGATAAACGGTACACAGAGGTAAAGAGTACTTTTTCTTAAAGTAGAAAAGCGGGTAATATATTATCAGCATGAGAATTGTGATTAACACACTTATGGGAATATATGTGGCGCGTGAGAAATAAATTGTAAGAAAAATAATGAGAGTTATGTATGTACAAAATTGTGTGCATCTTTCTGTTGCATCATGGAGATATGATCGCGCGAAATTTTATATATATATATGTATATATATAATCGAGAATGAAGAGCAGTCTTGAGGTCGCTATAGGCATGTCGGCGCGCGTACGGTTGACTTTAATTTATTTATAAGATCTCGATTGCTAAAGTATCGCTTGACACAATTCTTTTATTTTGTTATCTTTTTTTCAGTTTTCTGTCTTTATTAACTATAATCCTTCAGTATATTAGATTTCTCAATAGCCTCAAAAGTACACTACGACGTTCCTTCCATAATGCTCCGCCTCGTGCGCACGCGCGCACGCGTCTATCGTCATATACTCTTGGTATATAATCTTTTAAGGCTTTTTGGCACAATAATTAGAATCTTATTTTAGTTTTACGGAAGAATTCGATTTAGCGTTTATTCTTTTCTCTTGCATTTCTCTCAAAATCGCTAATTATCCTTCCGTACTCCGCTGGCTGCCCCAGCCTTTTCGTACTTTATCATTGAATCTTCGTTTCCCACTTTGTTCCTAGTTTTCTCCAGCATTAGTATATATTTAAACACATTCATTTACAGTTTTACACTTTTTCTACGTCATAAAATTTATATTAAATGTTTACATCGCCCGTCACGCTTTTACGCGACGCGTACAAAGAGATTATATATTCTTATCTTTCGATATTTTACTAAGTAAATTCTTGCGCAACCTTTTTTATCTTACACTTGTTACTCTTTGTTATCGCCGCTTTTTCTTTTTCTTCTTCTTCCTTCTCTTTCTTCTCCCCATTCTTCCTTTCTCTCATTTTTTCCTCTCTCTTCTTCCTCACTTTTTGCTATCACTTCCCATCACCTCCTGCCCCCTATTCTTTTCTTTCTTATAAAGTAATGTTTTCAATAGCAAGAACGATGCTTCCGGTACAATGGCGATGGCGACCGCACTAGGGAACACCGGTACCTTCTGGTCCCGAGTGTACCGGACACGTAATATTCAAATGCGTAATCCTTTGTGGTTTGCACGATTCGAAAAGATATTAATAAACGTTATATTCATGGCAGTATCCACGTCGCGTTACTTCTCGCGAAACTCGAAGGAGCTACGTGCGTTTTGACTAATGCGTTGATAAGTGTAAAGTTAGCATTCCGATATATAATAAATGCCGATATTTCTGTTTAGAGTTTTCGCTTATATTTAAAGAGTTTACGAATTAAAAACTGAGATGCTAACTTTATATTGAAAATCGGGATCTATGAATAGCTTAACAGCGTTAACATGTCAGTTTCTTATCTTATTATTAAGACTTAATCAGCAAAACTTTTTTTGCATATACATATATTATTTATATAGAAAACTTATACACTTACAAAGCAAAAACTCTAATCAAAATCTATGGACGTTTACTATCGGAATTCTAAATTCACAGCCTTTGTGTTGATGACCGAGACTCATGCCTTTTGTCAACGCAAATGGAACTCAGTTTTACAATTTTTCGAAAGCAGTGATATAGCAATCTGTTACTATAAATAAAAAATAATAAATATTCATATTCGATGCCAAGTACAGTTTAACATTCAAAGATTTCCACCGGCTTGTTTAAACATCGAAGATTGCAAACTTTTAAATAAAATCAAGCTGAGAACCTTTTCAATTTCTCCAAAAGATCTGCGATCTAAAAAATTCTTAATACAGCAGTAAAAAATTACTGCCGTATTATGAATTTACACGATAATATAAACAATCGATATTTGCAATGTTGAAAATCGATTCTTAAGAATATTATAAGCAACATGAACTTCTTTTGAGATCCGTTTACGTCGCCGAGTATCATATTAACCCCTTGACAAAGATAGTTCGTTAAAAATCCTTTCTTATGCGTTAATGGACACTGGTGCAATAAAGCAACACAATTACACTAGAGCATTAAATTTCCATGGTTTAACAAGAGATAACCAAATCCCTAATAGGCAAATTGTGAAAATATTGCACAAAAATGGCATCATGAATAACGACAATCCTGCAATGATTGCACTAAGATGATTTGCCATAACGCAACAGTTTTGTCGAAATAAAATTTTGTAAATAATATTTGTCAAAAAATGCGAAAAAGTCGTTATTTCCATAAGTATATATACATGAATTAAGTTGATTTTTTTCATATGTAATTATATTTCTATATATTTTAAACATCACATAGCTGAAATTTTTTTCTCAATTATTAGACAATTTCTTTTTGAAATTAATCTTGCAAATATACTGCTAAGATGATTCGCCATATCGTTATTCTTTTGCCGAAAGTAATTTTGCAAACAACTACAAATATTTTATAAAAGATCAATATTTTTACATTTATTTCTCAAAATATATCTGTATAATTGCAAATTACAATTTTAGTGCAAGATTTCGTCACATAATTTTGTAAATGTTTTCCTATCAGGGATTATCAACATAATTTATAACGTTATCATCCTTTACTTAACGTTCATTAAAAAATGCGTTTGATTCGATGCGGGGACGACGCGGTCGTCAAGAGGTTAATTTTTCGTCTTTGTGATATAAAATCACTCAGAGAAACACTCGAAAGTAGTCTGTTTTTTTTCTGTGTGGAGACAGCTGCTCGAGCGGCCGAACGATTTACTACCGACGTCTGCATGTATGATTTTATATATACATATAATCAGCCTAAAAGAAGCCGAAATACTCGCAAAATGAACAATTGTTGGGAACAGAATAATTTTTGGATATTTTATGTGAGTGCCAAACTTATTCGCGACATTCATCGGCCTCCTCGTTTACGTTTCTTCGTGCGGTCTGAGAAACGCGTTAAAAAGGAGAAAAGTAAAGAATATAATAATAACACCAACAACAACAAAATAACAACAACCAATAATGATAATGATAATGATAATGATAATGATAATGATAATAATAATGATAATGATAATGATAATGATAATGATAATGATAATGATAATGATAATGATAATGATAATGATAATAATAATGATAATAATAATAATTCAATGTTGTTTCTGTGAGGTACGTATAAATATATATGTGTTACATGTCCATACGTGTGAGAAACGCACGCAGTCGTTGACTCTCAACTATGTAGAACGCGAATATTGAAAACGCGGAAAAACCGATACGAAAAAATCAAGGCACGCACCGTTGATTACTGATATCCCCTATCGATTGGGCCGCGATTTCTAGTATTCCACTTACACTTGAGAATCCTCACGTAAGTTCTACGGAAAGTCGCATTGCACAGAGCGTAACACATCGGATTCACAGTACTGTTGATGTAGCAAAGGTAATAAAAAAAGTCCCATAACTCCTGCGGTATGTACCACGTGCAGGCGGTGATGGATTTTATGAGCACCAGGATATTGTATGGAGTCCACGTGATGATGAACGCCAGCAAGATGGCCGAAAGTGTTTTTGCGGCTTTTCGCTCGCTCTTCTTTTCCTGGAATTTTTTCTTTTTTTTATTTGGTTGCTTACTCGGTATTGAGATTTTGGCCACTTTTGCTATATTTTTTGCGTTTAGCGGTATCCTGATGTCCGGCATCTGTGACGGTCTCCTCATTTCCATCGATGAGCTCGACATAGGACCTACACCGAGACGGGCAAGCTTGCTAACACTACCACTACCTGCTCCACTTTTACTTCCTCCACCAATATCATCTTCGCTGTCTTCTACCATGCTGTGTAGTTGGATCGACATAGATTCGTCGTGGATCATTTTTATACTCGCCCCTTCACTGTGCTTACTGCCGTTACTTGGCAATTTAATTAGAATCGTATAAACCTAAAAAGAAAGTAGACATACAATAGTGATTTTCTTAACTATCTATAATAACAATAGTGATTTTCTTAATTATCTGTTATAATTTAATTCCGAAAGAAAGAAAAAAAGATATACCTTAGTAATAATAATTTTAAATCTGAAGAATGTATATATATATGTATGTATATACATTTTATATACAGAGTGGAAAAAATACCGGAACACTTAAATATCTCAGAAAATATAAGGTTTACAGAAAAGTGTTTCAGACAAAAGTAGTATTGTTTAAAAAGATCATAAGTCAAAAAGTACTTAATGAAAATAAACTTTAGAGGTAAAATCGTTACATATATCTTGAATATGGAGGGAGCTGCTCAGTCTGTCGGTTGCATTCCAAGCGGGAGAACGTTTTACGTCCTCTTATGTAATACTGACTGACACTTTGCTGCCACTTTCGCTTCTTTGAATATTTATGTAGCGTTTCTTTTCTTATCCATATTCTTTATGATCTCGAATAGATCATAATTTTTTTGTAATTTTATGTACTTTTTTATTAAAACACTGAAGAAGATCCCATAGTGGATCGAAACGTTTGTCAACATTTTTTAAAATCTTTGAATTAAAAAAGAATTGTACCCGAACATCTGGTGTTAGCTTGTTATTGCCATTCCTCTATTTTTGTATTTAAAAATAGACTTTATTATAGTGTTTTGGAAAGCTCTTGAGTTAGGCTATAAGAATCAGCAATAAAAAATAGGGAGTTCTATTTAAAAAAATCGACGTGACCTTGACCCGATCTTGGCGGCACAATCCAAGGTCACAGTAATACAATCAGTAAATAGATCTTTTTAAACCATATTACTTTACAACAGTTACCGTTGAATTGTCACATATACATGTGAAGGGAATAGATGTGAAAGTTTCTGGTTAAAGAACACACTGAAGATGACTTAAATTAAACAAGAATTTTTTCAAACTAATAAATAAATGTAAGTCCGGTCAGTAAGAGCCGATCGCAGGATGTTGTGCGAAAAAATGTGCGTATATACACAGTGCATTCAAAAAGTTCCGATACTAATTTTTTTTATGAAGAAAAACACGAGTTATGTAAAAATGGTTTATTCAGCTTTCAACATACTCCCGTCCTCTCTCTATACAAATTTTTGATTGTTCGTAGAGTCGCTGGAAGGCTCCAGAAAAAGCCTCTTCTGGAATTTCCCTGATGACACGTGTCACGTTCCTTTGGATGTCCGTAACATCGTCAAAACGCTCTCCCTTCGTCATCGTTTTTAATTTCGGGAACAAAAAAAAAGTCCGCAGGAGCCAAATCTGGCGAATACGGGGAGTAGTTGATAACTGTGACCTCTTTTTTGGCTCTAAAAACTGCGATACCAATATTGACGTGTGCGCCGGTGCGTTGTCATGCAAAAGGAACCAATCGCCGGACCGGTACTGTTCCGGCCGCACGCGCCTTATTCGTTTCAATAATCTGTCGAGAACATCTTTGTAGAAGGCAGCATTTACTGATTGACCCGGAGGAACGAATTCATTATGGATAATGCCATGAGAATCGAAAAAAGAGATGAGCATTGTCTTGATTTTGGATTTCACCGCGCGGATTTTCACCGGCCGCCCTTCGCCATGACTCCGCCATTCCATGGTTTGACGCAACATTTCAAGTGTTTCCGAAGCGGATTTCTTCATTTAAAACAAAATTTAATTGCAGCTGTTGCTCTATCGTAAAGATCGTGACACGCGTAATCGAACACACACACACACTTCCGACACTTCGCACTCGCTACTGAATCGAGATAGCGCTTTCAAATTTTTACAGTAGCTAAAGGAAAAGTGAAAAAAAATATTTCGCAATGGAAACACAGATAGCGCCACTTTTTGATTTTATACAACATCAGTCCCGGAACTTTTTGAATGCACTGTGTATATGTATGCATACATTTATATATATGCGTTCACGTGTAAATTTTTCACGTGAGTTTTTTGAATTGAAATAACAATTCTTTAAGTCATGTAAGATGCTAGATTTGCATCACATATATGAAAGTATTTTTTCATTAAAAAAGCATAAAATTCTGTAAACTATTCGGTAACGCCTTCACTTCCACACCAATTTTTAATTTTTTTCACCGAACTTGATCAACTCTACCATAACGGTTTAGATACTACTTTTGGTTGAAACACTTCTGTAAAACTTATATTTTCTGAGATATTCAGGTGTTCCGGTACTTTTTTCCTCTCTGTATGTAAAATATATGTATATATAAACATATATTTTTATTTCTCATACACACACATATACATATATATATATGTATTTATATGTTATAGTCAAAGCCTGAAACACGGGCTGTCCTAGGATTGACTGGTCAATGCGTGGAACAACTAAGCGTTTTAGTCAAAGTCCAAAATAGGTTAGGTTTGTGTTTTGGCTTTTGACTGGTGTATTTTAAGTCAATTCTAAGAGTGACTAACATAACTGGTTAAAGTTAAAATCTAAAAAAATCACTTCTGACTTTGTTAATCCTAAGTGTGATTACAATGACTGTTATGATCAAAGAGAGGACCCAGATGTGCACAGAATCAAACGGACACGGTATATCAATCGGACACAATAAGAAACGGATACACGACGGACTCAATCGGACATAGTCGCAATCGGACACAGTTGCAAACAGACACAGTCGCAATCGGACACAGTCCCAATCGGACACAGTCGCAAACGGATACACTAGTATTAAATCAAGACTTTTTTGTTTTAAATCAAGATTATTTCTTTCATATTGACCTTATTTGAAATACATTTACTTTATTTCTTTCATGTTTTTTTGTTCGTGTTATATAAGCGTGTAGCCCCCATATATGTAATACTCCTATATTGCTAGTACGGTGCCGACCTGAAGCTCATCGTTACGGTGCAGACAATATAGTAGCCTCTCTCTCCAGCTGCTTTGTGCGCATGCGGTGAACATTCAAGCACGCTTGCGCATTTCTCTTTCTCGCGTTCTTTCTCTCACTTTCCAATGCTTTGTCTCGCTCGCACTCACTTGGTAGATGCGCCTGCGCATAATGACGCTCGACCATCTATACCCATATTTGGACTTCGTGCGTCTCCCTTTCTCGGGCCTCGTGCCTCTCATTGCGAAGATACGCGACTAGCAATATAGGAGTATTACATATATGGTAGCCCCCAAAAAGCTAACCTAACCTAATCGCTTCTTCCTGAACCTTCCTCGCAAAAATCTCACTCATTCCTATTGATATTGTAGTAACAGGTTAGGGTTAGGTTAAGTTTTGAGAGGGTGCAGGGGGATGCAGCCCCCCTGCCTACACGCTTACAACACGAACAAAAAAACACATAAAAGAAATAGTCTTGATTTAATACTAGTGTATCCGATTGACACTGTCTTGTGTCCCATTGAAACTGTGTCCGATTGCGACTGTGTCCGTTTGCAACTGTGTCCGATTGAGTCCGTTGTGTGTCCGTTTCTTACTGTGTCCGATTGAGTCTGTGTCTGATTGACACATCTTGCCGTGTCCGTTTGTTTCTGCGCATCTGGAACTCACCCATGATCAAAGCTGAAACAGGTTTTTTTTTAGTGTACTTTTCAATGTTCGCTACTTTCGCAATGATATATTATAGATTAGGTTTTTACGAGGAGAAGGTGCAGAGAGAGGAGCTCCGTTCCTCCTCTACCCACATGCGTATAATATATAACCCAGCAAACAATTTCTGTTTTTGACAATTTCGGCGCAGACCTTGGTAACAGAAACTGTTTGCAGAAATGCTACAATACGGAAACACCGCCAAAATTGTTAGCACACA